TTCAGCAGGCTTGAGAGGTTTTTTGGACACCCTGGGTAGGATGTTAACATGGCACTCTTCCAAAGTCCCACCCTGCAGCCTGCTAGCTGACACCAGCATACAGGTGTGGTGGTGTTGTTCTCGTTGTTGTTTTGGCTGACACAATTTTTAAAAATTTTAACTACAATGAGTCTACGTAGGGCATTTGCTCCAGTTTTTCAAAGATTCAATTTTACACTGTTATCTTACATTTAGCTTGACTGAATTATATACATGCCTGGTCTCTGAAAGATTTGGATTTAAGACTTCTGAAATATCTTTAAACTATCTGTTGAACATTTATTTAGAGGCTGAAGGCTGTTGGGAAACAAGACCCCCTGGTGGTAGGGGTCTGCCTCTTCTCTACTCCCCTGAGCAAGTGAGTTCTACTCCCAAACTCCTGTATATGGTCTACTCAGCAAAACAAAAGCTCTGCAATTACCCTGACACCCACTGGGGAGAAGAAATTTAGCAATGATTTACTATTATTCTAGAGTGCATTAGGAGGGCTTTCTCACCAGTCACCCATCCACTGAAGCAGTTTATGAAAACGTTTCCTCCCTGAGAATAATTCTGGTAAGTGGATTACCTTCAATTTGCCACACTTCCAGGGATATTTTGGTGCCATTAAGTGACTGGCACCCCCAGGCCATCTGGCTCTTCTAACACAGCACACTTGTGATGCTTCCAGACAATGCGGACACTGCAAAGGGGGCAGTTTTTGACAAGGAAATAGTGAGTACAGGTAGAATTTGGATCGCCACTAAGCCATCCACGTGGATTGTTCAAAGCCGGAAGATGACATCCTACATCCCGAAGAGGGACTGGCAAAGTGGGCTTTCATTGAGTCTTGCCCAATGTGCTGGGTCTGGATATGTGCACACCGAGAGCATTCCTGGCAGGACAAGTAGCTTTGGCAAAGTTACTGACAGATCTCAGGAGTGAAGGGGATGTTTCAGATCTGTCTGAGATCTAGCCGGTGCCTCAGGCCAAATCTCAGCACTACTTTTTCTAAAGCTTTTCAGTGACTGTCTGTAGAATCCTTGGTGTTTAGAAATCTCATAACTTAGGGTTCTTTATATATATATATATATATATATATATTTTTTTTTTATATATATATATTTATATTTATTTATTTGGTGGCACTCGGTCTTAGTTGCAGCTCACTGGCTCCTTAGTTGCAGCACATGGGCTCCTTTAGTTGTGGCATGCGAACTCTTAGTTGCAGCATGCATGTGGGATCTAGCTCCCTGGCCAGGGATCGAACCCGGGCACCCTGCATTGGGAGTGTGGAGTCTTAACCACTGCGTCACCAGGGAAGTCCCAGGAGAGTTTTCTATAGCAAATTCAGTCCATTTTTAAACCTGAAAAAACCATTGCGATCAGCAACATCAGCACAACTGCTAGTCGCCGCCGCTCATTTGCCCTGTAAGTAACAACCCTTCCTGGTTAATAGCAAACAAATCTGGCTAATGAAATGTATTGGCACTATGTTTCATATCTAAAGCAATTAAAAATATCTGTAGTGAGCATCAATTATTGGGAAAAAGAGTGATTTTTGCCCACTTTTTAATCTTTCCAACTGCCCTCTAGGGCAAAAGAGCTCTCCTTGGAACCTCAGTCCATAATAAACACATGTGAACAAATACACACATTAGGTTGTAAAAGGATGGTTTCTTAACTGGTTTTTGAGCTACAAATAATCCCTAAAAAGTGGCTTTCTCAACTAAATATGCAGACATTACAGTGTATTAGTGATTAAAAACTGGAAAGAAACTAAATATCCAAACATAAAGTTTAAGCAAAATTATGCTCCTATTATGTCATGCTATGCAACAATTAAAAATGATTTTTACAAAGAGTTTTAAATAATAAGGTAACATACTTATTAAATTTAAAGCAAAAAAAATCTGCTTGATGCAAATTGTTACACGGTATGTCACAACTAAGTATATATTGTAAGAAAGACTGGCAGGTACGTGCTAAAATGTTAACAGTGTTTTCTGTGGGTGGTGAGAGTGGGAGTAATTTTTTTTAATTTCCTATTTTAATATCATAAATATGCTGCTTTTATAATAAAGAAAAATGAGCAACCCAAAGGTATCTTTTCTGCGATACTGAGGGGATTCTTCCCAAGCCCAAACCTCTCAAAGGGACACATCGCATCTTCTACCCTATGGTGCAGACAACTGTGAAAAGGGAAAAAGAATCCTTTCACATACATTGACACTGTTAGAAAATGCTTATCCAATGTAAACACAGAACCAAAGGAAATGCATAAACATTGAATATTATAAGGATATGCATAAACACAATTCTTCCTCCTGAATTTGTAAGCAAATACCCATGGCTATATGAAGCTGGCTTGTTGGAATACAATGTAAGGGAGACAGAGGGTCCTTGTCATTTCCAAAATTAGTAGGGATTATCATCACCAATATGTTAGATGCTCTCCCCCTTCAAAAAAAAAAAAAGAAAAAGAATGAAGAGTCTGTATCAGTTTTTAGAAGTACTTAAGGAAGAATATCTTGAGCCCATATATAGACTGAGAACTATTAACAATAATCAAAGAAACACTAATGTGTAATAACTAGAAGCTAAAACACGGTCTTAAACTCTTCCCTTGGGAAACCAGGTTTTCATGAAACTCAACTGGACAAGGCTATTCTCCTCTATCCCCACTCATGTGGGGCAGTATGAAAAAGCTAAAAAGTGACATGCACATATTTTTCCCGTACAGTGTACAATGAAAAACAGTATTCTCTAACTCAAATATGGACTCATGTAAAACTTATCAGTGATTAACGTATTATAGTTCATAAAAAAGGATAACCTTCCACAGAGTGAAGTTTTAAGTGCAATACTGTACTGCAATACTTACACTAAGAAAAACGCAGTCTGTGTGTAGGTTAATATTTTTTTCAGAGACATGTGAAACATGTCTAAGATTACTAGATATGGTCTAAAAAGCAAAAAGAGCAACCTGGATGTGTTCATAAATAATCATCAAGATGTTCCAAAAATTGTGGACTGACATTCTCATAAAATATTTGAGTCACTGTTTATGCAAATGTTTCATTTTTTAAAAAAAAAAAAAAGCCCACAAAACTCATTATCTTATTATGGTTAGCAAATCACAAAAGCAAAACCATTAGAATAGGTTCAAAACACTTTTTGAATGGTATAGTTACTTAAAAAGAAATTGAGTACAGAATAAAATTTTAAATGGCTTTATACAAATATTATTATATTTTTCTAGGATGGGATAGGGAGTCTTATTTATGATTTTCTAAATTGTAAGGTATGAAGGTATATCAAAATTTAAGGATATCACACGAACTCAAAACTTTACTAAGGACTTAGATCTTCAGTAGATCTACTTTTTAATTTTGCAATCTTATGAACCTGTAGCATGGACACACAATTTTTAAAAATGCACCCAACTTTTACATGAAGATAAAACTAGAAATCATCAATAATGAATAGTTTTATGCTGGTAGAATCTTCTTGGAATTATCTTGATTTGGAGGACATTAACTTCTACTGGCATAATTATGAGGCCGATTAGAAAATATCTACTGGGTTTCTTTATTTTGGTTAAGAGATTGGTTGGAAGAATTCAGGAGTTGCCACTTTACCTCTTAACACTCTGCACTCTGCTTTCCCTGCCCCCTCACTCCACATTCTGTGACTCAAGAGACTATTTTCAGAGGACACCTGTTTTAAATGGATCCACAGGAAATACCTATGTTGGCTTTTCATAATCTGACCCTGTATCTCGTTAGCTGAAATGTGATGCTGCCCACAGAATGAAGCAACTTCAGTGTGACAACATTTACTGGAAGGTGGAGGGAATCCAGTTTATATTTATTTTCCTTCTGTTAAGCCCTGGTATTGGAGTGTAAGAAAAAATAAATAATGAAAAGGGCAAAACCAGTTTAACCCTCAAAAGATTAGTATTAAATTACACAAACGGGTTTTACATCTCTTGAACTGAATGTAATCTTGCAGAAGAAACTTATCTGACACTCCTTTCTTTACACGTTTTATTTATAAACCCCTTGCCCACAGTTCACAGTCGGCCTTGTTATATATTGATAGGATATTTATAAACCCCCGGTGGAAAAGTGCAGGGCAGCCTACCCACTGGAATAGAATTAATAAGGGGATTTCATAGAGATTAACAGTAGTCTAACACTAAAATTCCAGTTGGGTCCAAAATAAAGCAAGTCACTCGGGGGTTTGCACCCCCCACGTGCGCGCCTCCACCGGTGCCACTTGGCCAGCAAGTCCCCGAGCTGGACCGTTGGCCCACCCCGGGGTCCGCTCCTTCCGGGCGGGTTGCCCGGCCCCCGCGCCCGGCCCCCGCGCCCGCTCACCCTGGGCCGCGCTGTCTCTCCGCCCGGCCGCTGCCGCTGGCCGCGGTCCCCGGAACTTGGCGCGCGCTCCCCGAGCCCGGTAGTCCTCGGGGGCCGCCCACCCGCTACCGGGGCTCTGAAGGGCTGCCCAGGGCCGGGTCTCCGGGGCCCGCGAAGGCAGCGGCAGAATGACGTAGTTGACGAAAAAGCTGACGCCACGCTGCCCACCCCACAGCCGCCGGTGCCCGCACACACCGCCCCGCCCCG